ATAAAAGAAATAAACTAGTGTAATGTGAACGCAATCCTGAGATTAATTTGAGATATGGAGATGAAATTCCACTGTTACTAAAAGTGAGTGGCAGTTCCGAGAAGATGATGAGAAAAAAAAAATTCTGACCCCACTTTTCTTTCTCTCTGAGAGACACATATGGCTCCAGTTATGATAAATGTTCAATTCCATTGTTATTTTGTATACAACCATATCATTCTCATCCACTAATTGATGAACAAAAAATGGCAGTGTTGAAAACTGTTTAAATTACAAGATCAGTTTTTCTTTTGTGCACACCTGACATCAGAAGAACATCTACAAGTTGTAATTGGCTTATTACTTCCGCCAAGGATGTTATGTGTTTGTCTGTGTTTGATTGTTTATTTGTTAGTTAGCAGGATATTACAAAAAGTAATTAACAAGTGACAACCCCCCCATCTTGCCTTCACCTACATTTATTCAGTTTTACCCTAATTGTTACAGTTTGTATAGCCTTCCCTTTGAACTACCAAGGAGTCTCAAACCTGTGGCATAGGCAGTATAGGCAAATCCATGCATCCAAAAAGAGAAGAAAAGAAATATAAATTATAAACTTTACTTTTGTTTTATCAATACTATTCTAATAATATTAAGTCTAAAACCCACAACAGAACAACTACATATTACCTATAATACTACCTATTACAGGCCTTACTTTCTGGGTTTCTTGCATGATCACACTGGTGCTGCAGCACATCACCTCCTGCTCTTAATCAGACTTGCCAACCCAGCACACTGGAGTTACCTTAACTGAAAAATTATATAATTAACATCAGCTGATAGGGCAGCACAATATTAGGAAAAAATGTGATACGCTATAACCTTGTTGAATGTCCAATGATGATATGACTTGCGCTAAATGAACAAATTCTTAAGTATATGGTGTTAAACAATGTCTGCTTTGGTTTCACTGCTAACATTGACCACATATAGTAAAGGGTTTATGCAGACACTGGAAAAAAAACATTTTTTCCATTCCAACAACATGGTTTTGTTGAAAAAACTCTACGGACCTGGCTACGGACACAGAGACCACGGACAGCTCCACATCCCCAGGGAGAGGCGCTCCCTGGGGATGTGGAGCTTACTGCTCCTCTCTGATACTCTATCATTCGCACTGCGCACACATCAAGCCAAACCTAGTGACCCACCATCTCCTCCATCTCTCCATACATGTCTAGGTTTACAAATGTTGTTTTCTGAGAGAGAAAGAGAGAGAGAGAGACAGAGAGAGAGAGTGGGACAGCTGATGAATGCCCACTCTACTCTGAAGAAAGGTTTAACTCTTATGAGATGATCAGTGTTGATATTGTGGCGTCATTTCAAACAAATCAACATTTAAAATGTTGAAAAAAGTGTCAGAGAGAGAAAGACAGTGGCTTCTTTTGATCGACATCTTATTCAACCCTACTGTACCCTACAAAACCCTAGTGAGCACTACTTAAAAACTTTTTTTTATCTTTTCCGTTTTGTAATTAGTTACAGCCCTTGCTTTTTCATGATTAGTTTAAGCAGACAGCAGTATCATGTGAGAGAAGTGGTCATGAATACTGCTTTGTGCATGAATTACTCATTTGAGGTACTTTACCTCACTATTTACTACTTTTACGAACACTCAACTACACTGCAGAGGAAATATTGTACTTTCAACTCCACTCCGTTTATAAATTAACTTGCTAGTTACTTTTAAAATTAAGATTTCACAAAAATGGATGTCACAAGCTTTTAAAATGCAACACAATTATCATCAAATAATGTTTTTCCCCTCTCAACGTATCACAGTTCCAGTAAATGTTTAAAGCAAAGAGTAAAGGAAAAAGTCTAAAGCTAAAAACAGAACCTAATTTTAGATATTTCCCCCTCTACCATTAATCAGGTCTGATTAAAAAAAACTCTGGAAGCTAAGAACAATGATCAGAAAAACAGAGGGAGAAGGAAAAACTTGGTGGAACTGGCTCTCCCATAAAAGGCAGGCGGAAGGCAGCCATATGCAATTTTAGTAAATTCAACAGAAACTGTCTGGCTGGCTGGATCAACCACTCAAGCTGGAGCGAGTGCATTGCTCCCTACAACCACATCCAGAGCCTGGAAAGTTGCCAAAACCAGTAATGATCTGCTTCTTACAGTTCAAAGATAAAATAATTGACACTACAGTCTACAAAGAACACACTTATCTTAAAGGGTTCTACTAAACTCACCATTCGTACTGCTTAATTTCACCGAGATCTGTTTGCAGAGTCTTGCCGTAAATGAAAGTAGTTTGATGGGGTGATCAAAATACTTTTGGAGATGAGTATATTCTGAAGGTTTGCGTACCCTAATCAGCTTCAATTCTTAATCTAAACAGCATTGTTTTCTTTGATGTGCCGAAAGAAACTGAATCTTTTGCACTTCATACTTTAAAAACCTTGCTGTCTTTACTTCCTGCAACAATGAGTGATGCTTTGAGACTACACCATTCTTAAAATGGAGGTAGGCTTTACTACTATGATCCTCTGTGAATTTAGTTTTACCCCTTTAACTCTTCTTTTTTTCTGACACCGAACTACAAGATGTGATGATTCGACTATTAAAGATTTATGAAGAGTGGGGAACTCCCTGCTTTCTGCTTTCTGCTTTCAGCTTTTCATACTTTACGTGATTTCCCTATCTGACACTAACGAAAGGACTGTACCATGAAACTCTGGAGGACAGGGGGTTGAAATGTAATTTTTTCCAAAAGACATATCCATCCTTACCTCCTCTAGCATTGTAGGGGAAGAATAACAATTATATATATTTTAAGTGCACTGAGGATGGAGGCTCTAGGATGCTGTTTCAACAACAAAAAATTAATTTTCCTTCGGTTAATATCCTTCTTTTCTTTTTATTGTTTTTCTCTGGTTATGAACAAGGTGGATATACTGTTGTGGGTTAAAAAATACACAGCTAAGGCAGGTTGATAAATGTCCTATGTGTTTTATTTTTTCTTTGTTATCATGTCCCTTGATCGAAGCAGTGACAATCTTTCTATTTGACCAACTGTACACACTAAAGGGTAATCACATTATTTTGCGGCATTCACCATTTTAGACTTGAAAATAATCCAGTGGAATATCAATATCATAAAATATTACATTTTCTTAAAAGACAGAGTTGATGTGGCCTTTTTACAAGAAACATACCTTTCAGACAATGAACATATAACATTAAGAAGGGACTGGGTGGGTTAGGCACTTTTCTTTATATAAGACCCATAGTAGAGGAAGAGCTATTTGGATCAATAAAATGACCCCTTTCAATTTAAAACAATTAACTGCAGACCCAAATGGTAGGTTCGTGTTTCAGGTTTGATCCACGGAATATTACTCTGTTATTTATGCTTCCAATGCAGATGAACCAACATTCATGTCGGGTGCTGCTCTTTAATGCAAACTGTAAAGGATTTGGGGTGATAGGCAGAGATTTCAACTGCACAATGAATTCGATCTTAGATTAATCCAATCAGACTAAGAACCTTATTTCGAAATCTTCAAAAGTCCTTCAGGGGTTCTGTAAAGAATGTGGCTGATCAGATGTTTGGGCACATATTGAGGCAGGGTGTCAGAGATTATAACTTTTTCTCAAATGTTCATAA